AACATATACCGAAAAAATGAAAAAGCATAAAACGCAATCAAAACAACAGAAAACATCCATCATCCAGCACGGAATCTAGTCGCCAACAACACCATTTCTGCTACAGCTAGCGCTTACCTTCTGCGGCGTGGTCAAGATGCCCCGGGTCGGCGTTGGCAGCAGCAGCTGCATGGGATGAAGGCGAGCGGTCTTCCATTATACACGAAGCACTCAAGAGAGAACGCTAAATTATACAGTTTCATCGGGCACACCCCAGGGAAGAATCCGAAAATCCACATTTTTTCATCAGGATCACAAATGAGAGAATAAAGCTTACAACATTCTTAAACCATTTCTTACATCACTTTTAATACAACATCAGAGTATAATATTTATTGTTATAACAGCGGAATATAATCATATTATTAGAGTTATGAACAATTTAATTTAACAGCGGAATATAAACATGTGATCAGAATTACAGCGAAATTAAATATCTATTCATGACATGATGAAGTAATGATATAGACGAACTATGACAATATATTATAAAACTTCCTTTTATAAAAACATTTGGTGAGAGTTATAAATAAAACTATGATCGCAGCGTAAACTAAATTCTCTCTGAGCCCACCAGGAGGAATCCACACACAAAGATCAGCTCTAGCCTCCACTTGTCACCTGCAATAGGGAAAATAAAACCCTGAGTACTCAATTATACTCAGCAAGACTGACCCGACAGGAGGAAAGAAAAGACTCCAAGGATATGAAAGGCTAAATGGCTTTGTGGGTTCATTGTATCTGCAGGAAGCATTACTAAGCGTACGTCCTTATATTCGATTTTTATTAATAGCCGCATTTGTTCATTAACTAACCATTCTATGTAAGCACGTGTGTTACTTTTTAAGCAGTTGGTAATCAATCAGATTTCTTTTTTTCATCTTCCATCTTTCATCTTTCAGTTCTTACTGCAATGCTAAACCGTAGACGAGTCGTACCGGATCGTCCGACGATTCGTGAATCAATGCCCCCAGCTGGGTACCCCGAAAACACACGCCCCGCTTATACCCAAGACACAAGCAGGACCAACCCATCACCCTCCTGTCCTGAGGTCCTAGGTCCCCGTCCAAATTGGGACTCCAAGCCCCCGCCCCTGAGTTCCGGACTCAGTGCGGTATAAGGACCTCCTCCACCAAAAAAACCCTGACAGTCGGTCCGAAAAGAGCTAGAACCCACGACAAGAGAGCAACAAGTCTTTCAAGCGCCCATACCCAAGTATGTGCTCGGGATAATAAGTCTGTGACTTGCCTAGAGCCTTATGCAACGGCCGGTCCTTAACCGACACAGATAGGGAAAGCAGTGTAACCAAGCTATGCCCGCGTCCACGGCGACACAACCTCTTACACCCACCAATACCCAACCATATCCTTGTCCGGTCTCCATTTTTCTTTTCCACCATTTATATTTTCCAAGTGATGATAATACCGTAATATATTTCCTATCTCTCGCGAGTGACAGGCAATCACTCGACTTCTACCGGAGTCCTATAGCATAGCATTCTACACGATCCTGTCATACTAGTAAGACTCATAGGATAAAGATATATATATATATACATATATATGCAAGTGGGTTTCAATCAACTCTTAAAACTTAATGCATAAATATAATTTAAACTGCAGAAAAAGTATGAATTATGCACAGGAGCTTGCTTGGGTAAGATTTAATCAGAAGTTAGCATTCCATCATGGCGAACGATCTCCAAAAGCATCATTTCTCCACCAACTCCCGATGACTTCACGATCCATCGACGTCCCTATTATGATATGCAATGCGATGCAATGCTAAGACGTAATTAATCAACTGCAACCGTGATTCGTAAAATACGATTTACGCCTCTCAAGTTAATGAGCTAGTTCTAACGACGACCGTACTTAGACTACATATCCATATTGTTGAATACGACGTTATTTCCCAACAATTATTTTAGTTATATAAACCCAAGTTGTTTCTTTATTCTATCCTATCAATTTAATCATTATTCGAAATATGACATCAGTACCTATATAACAAACTAATTATTTTGGAGCTACAAAAATTAAAGTGAGTGGCTAATAATATTAGTAATCTACTGTAAAATTTTCAGAGTCAACTCTATCACCTATTTATCACGGAAATTCCTACAAGTTCACATTTTAACAATATTAAACATATTAAAATAATTCAAGCAACCCTAAAAATATACCGAACCTATGCGAACTAAATACACTATTAGGTAGATCAGGATTTTAGAGACTCAACAAAACTGGTTTAGCATTTTTATGATTTTTCTACACTTTATTTTCAATTTTCAAAGAGCACTGATTTAACAAAATAAACGAAAACACACAAAGCAGATCTGATTTGGGCAGCCTAGCTAGCTCGGCCAATAAGCGCCATTGGCGCGAGTGGCCCGATCATGAGGCGGCACACACGGCCAGACCAGCGCTTGAGCAACATGCAGAGAGGCCAGTGCCAGGCGCTGAAGGGCCCGGCCGCCAAGACGCGGGCGTGAAACGGCCTAGGCGGAAAGGTGCATCTTGGCGTGAGCGGCCTAACGCGGTGGCGCATAAGCCGCCCAAAAGCGCCTGATCGTCGGCAGGCGGCCCCGCTGTGGCGTGCTTTGCCCAAACCGGTCGGCGATTATGCAAAAATACCCCAACGTTTACCTCTATTCCGCTCAAGATCCACAGGCACTATTTAAATGAGACGCTTTTCGCAGTAAGGACCCTATATAAAATTTTTGCTTGGACTCATACCCTTCACTTCATTCTAAAAAACAGAGGGCAGACGGGGAGCATCGGCCGGCGGCGGGAACGGCGTGACGGGGCCGGGGAAGGCACGACAGCGGTGGACCACCCACCGGTGAGCCGCACGGCGAGGTGCGCGGACACAACCGTGCTCGGCTTGGCCGCGGCGCGGACCAGGGCGAAGCACGGCACGGTGGCTTCTAGTGCGGATGACGGCAGGAGGAGCGACACGGACAAGGCAGGCTCGACGGCTGTGGGACACGGCGGCCGGCGAGGCAAGTTCCTCGGCATCGGCGGAGCGCCAGCACGGCCGAGGCGCGCGGAAAAGGAAGCGTAGAGGCGAGGGGAACAGGGCAACGACGGGCGGGCGTGACGCGCTCGGTGGTGGCGGCGTCCGGGTCGCTGCGGCTCGGCGAGGCAGGCCCTTTGGCACCGACGGACCTGGCGCGGACGATGGTGGGGTGCGCTGGGAGAAGCAGAGCCGCGGAGCAGCCGTACCAGCGCGGAGCGTGGAGCTCGCGTGCGCAGGAGGTGGGGGGCGGCATGGCCGAGACGACGGCGTCCGTGACCCAACGATGGCCATGGTGACGGGGAGCGAGGACCAGCGCGAGGTAGCATGGAGCTTCGCAGGGCTCGGCGTCCGGGCCGGGCAACGGCGGGCGCAGCCATGGCGGGTACGTTGACGCACGGGCACGGGGGAAGCGGCGCTAAAAGCTGCCGAAACGGTGCGGCAAGAGCACTGCGGCACGGGCGCGGCTGTGGCTTGGCAAGCGGAGCTGCGCGTGGCTTCCGTGAACGGGAGGCGAGCGACGGTGGTGGTGGGCTCGGGCTCGCGTAGTACCGCGCTGCGGGGCGCAGCAGCGGAGACAAATGGCGCCGGGAGGTGAGCGGGGGCATGGCGGTGGCGCCCCCAGGCGCGGTCACCAGGGTGCAGAGCGCGGACACGAGGAAGAAAGGGCCTATTGCATCTGTGAAGGCTCGGCTGCTGGTGCTGTAAAGGTGCGTTGGCCGCTGATGCTCTAGAGAAATGGAAACGTCACCTATGCAGGATAGCACGCTACCCACTCGCGAGAGCCGGCTTTAGGCGGTACCAAGAATCCCCGGCGCCACTAGCTGTCTCTCTCTGCACCAGAGCACGGACGCGGGCGGGGACTGGGCAGGACAGCGTGGCGTGGCGTGGCCGGCAGCGGCGAGCACAGGAAGGAAAAGACATGGCATGGGCAGAGCAGGGCTAGAAACGCCTACACAATTTCAGACGCTCAGCGTAGTGGACCCGTTCAGATGCGATTGGATGGGAGGCTTTGCAATGCAGAGCCACGACGAGAACGAGACGGTGAATAATTGTCATGCAATGAGTACGCTGTACGCCAGGAAAAATAAACAAAGCTGTTGCGCTCTCTCTCATCAGTTCGTGCTTATCAAAATAAATCCGTGAGTATATATATATAGCATATATATATATATAGCATATATATATATATATATATATATGTATATATCGTTCTATTTATTAATGGATTTTATTTTATTTATAACAGTTGTTTTCATGCTTAATCTAACAGAACAAACCGTTCGCTAGCATCGTCGTTCGACATTCCTAAATATCTTTACGCACTAAGTAATTTAACTTGGGCGGTCATTTGAGTCCACAAAACTAAGTCACACGTAATTCCCTTATCACGGCAAGTATGTTTTAAATCAAAAATTCCGAGAAACCCGTTTGAAAATTTGACTTAGTACTAAATCACGGTGCTAAACAAGCTCGTAACACCAGGGGTGTTACATGACGCCCTTTGGGAACCGAAAATGAGGAAGTGGAGAGATTTCTTTTTGAAACCAAAAATCAGGAGAGGGCGGCGCGAGATCGGGAGGGGAAGTTTTGCCTAGGGCATGGTGTGGGGATCGCACCAGCGAGGCAGGCGTTGAAGCTTGCGTTGAAGCCTGGAATTCTCCATGGCCACACGATCGTGGTGAAGCCTTTTGAGAGTAGATTTGTGTCGTTGGTTTGCAAGCGGTTTTTCTGGATGCAAATTCTTGGGTGAATGAAGTAGAGGTCATCTCTGGGAGGGGCAAATTATTGATAGACTAAGTGTAATTGTGATTGGCAGTAGAGATGTATCCGTGCGCGTAACAAACCCCGGTTCTGCCTTTGCGATTTCGCGTAACAAACCCCGGCAACGCGTTGGAGCGCTTGGCAGCAGCAGCAGCAGCACGTCGACACCGCGCGGCGCCATGGCGAGGCAGGAGCAGGAGCGGCAGCGGCAGCGGCAGCTGCAGGTGCTGACCACGCTCGACGCCGCCAAGACGCAGTGGTACCACTTCACGGCGATCGTCGTGGCGGGCATGGGCTTCTTCACCGACGCCTACGACCTCTTCTGCATCTCGCTCGTCACCAAGCTGCTCGGCCGCGTCTACTACACCGACCCCACCAAGCCGGACCCGGGCACGCTGCCGCCCAACGTCGCGGCCGCGGTGAACGGCGTCGCGCTCTGCGGGACGCTCGCGGGGCAGCTCTTCTTCGGCTGGCTCGGCGACAGGCTCGGCCGGAAGAGCGTCTACGGCATGACGCTGCTGCTCATGGTGGTCTGCTCCCTCGCCTCGGGGCTTTCGTTCGGGAGCACGCCCGCCGGCGTCATGACCACGCTCTGCTTCTTCCGCTTCTGGCTCGGCTTCGGCATCGGCGGCGACTACCCGCTCAGCGCCACCATCATGTCCGAGTACGCCAACAAGAAGACCCGCAGCGGGTTCATCGCCGCCGTCTTCGCCATGCAGGGCTTTGGCATCCTCGCCGGCGGCATCGTCACGCTTGCGCTCTCCGCGGTGTTTCGCAGGGCGTTCCCGGCGCCGGCGTACCAGGTCGACGCCGTGGCGTCCACCGTGCCGCAGGCCGACTACGTGTGGCGCACCATCCTCATGCTCGGCGCGGCGCCCGCGGTGCTGACGTACTACTGGCGGACCAAGATGCCCGAGACGGCGCGCTACACCGCGCTGGTCGCCGGGAACGCCAAGCAGGCCGCCTCCGATATGTCCAGGGTGCTGCAGGTGGAGATCGAGGCGAGGCGGAGAAGCTGGACGAGATCACCAGGGGCAGCGACTACGGCCTCTTCTCGTCGCGGTTCGCGCGGCGCCGCGGCTCGCACCTCCTCGGCACGGCCGTCACGTGGTTCCTGGTGGACATCGCCTACTACAGCCAGAGCCTGTTCCAGAAGGACATCTTCGCCAGCATCCACTGGATCCCCAAGGCGCGCACCATGAGCGCGATCGAGGAGGTGTTCCGCATCTCCCGCGCGCAGACGCTCATCGCGCTCTGCGGCACCGTGCCGGGCCACTGGTTCACCGTCTTCCTCATCGACGTCCTCGGCCGCTTCGCCATCCAGCTCCAGGGCTTCGCCATGATGACCGTCTTCATGCTCGGCCTCGCCATCCCGTACCACCACTGGACCACGCCAGGCAACCACATCGGCTTTCGCCGTCATGTACGGCTTCACCTTCTTCTTCGCAAACTTCGGGCCGAACGCGACCACGTTCGTCGTGCCGGCCGAGATCTTCCCGGCGCGGCTCCGGTCCACCTGCCATGGCATCTCCGCCGCCGACTGCAAGGCTGGAGCCATCATAGGAGCCTTCGGCTTCCTCTACGCGGCGCAGTCTCAGGACAAGGCGCACGTGGACGCCGGGTATAATCCTGGGATCGGCGTGCGTAACGCGCTGTTCGTGCTCGACGCGTGCAACTTGTTGGGGTTCTTGTTGACCTTCCTGGTGCCGGAATCGAAAGGGAAGTCGCTCGAGGAGATGTCCGGAGAGGTCGACGGTGACCAAACCTCCGGCAACGGCGCCAATGCCGTGCAGCCTTCCGGAGTTGAGAGAGTGTAATCCTTCAGAACGCAACTACACGCGGCACGAGGATTTGTAACGCGGCTAGATGATATCGTAAGTTTTGTAATCATGTTATTAGACGTAGGAATAGGTTTGGAACTTGGAAGGGTAGCATGTGTAAGATACGCTCTCCGTTCATCAGAAATGATAAAAATATTTCAACCGCGGAAAACTCAAGTTTTGCAAAGTTTTATAAACAGTTAGTTAAATTATATGCACATTTTACACTTATAACTTGAGTGAATAGGTTTCTGTTCATAGTGACTAGTAGGTGATATTAGACGTAGGAATAGATTTGGAACTTGGAAGGGTAGCATGTGTAAGCTACTGTTTGCGAGTTTGTGTATGTGATATATCCGGCCCTGTTTGAATTAGACTCATAGTGGCACAAGCGTGTGTTAATATGAGTTTGTAAGGGTGTGTTAAGCCAACATATCAGATTTTTAGAGTCTATATACCATCAAACCCATATTAACCCTTTTACGTGAACCATTTTACGTGAAACGGTGATGGAAGCGTAAGTGGATTGGTGAGGTTTTGTGGTTCGTTTAGTGTACAAAGCAGATGTGAGTAGTTTAGACTTCGAGGGCTCAATAGAATCATCCAATTGTTGGTTGTCCACTCTCGTTCTCTCATCAATCAGTATAACAAGAGCGTTGGAACAATCTTGCTGCGATCTCAAAGAATGTAAGCTTGAACTTGCTTGTGTAATGTGTATGATTGCGCGTATGGTATGTGATGTGGTTGATGGTGATCTACTTGTATGAATGGTGATCTTGACCATCACTTAAGAATTGAGATACATCTCCCCAATCAATGGGTATCAGAATTATTCTCCTTCAATCAAATGGACATTTGGATAGTAACTTAGGGTCTATTTGGATCACCGGACTAAAGTTTAGTATGTCGTTGGATTATAGGCTAAATATGGATTAATTAAAATTTTATTTTTCTAATAAGTTCTACAAATCAATTAGCCTTTATTAGTTTTTGTTAGAACATGATTAGTTCATGTTTAGGCCTTCAATTTGTCATCCAAACACATGGAGTGTAAAGTTTAGTTTAGTTCATCCAAACACCTCCTTAACTAGTTAGGATAATTCGGATGGTATAGGAGAAATGCAGAAACATATGTACCGTAGCTTTTATTTACTCATGAGAATGCTAGTCAACCAACACAAACACCAACGCAAATGAAAATCTCGATCGAGAAAGTACCCGGAAATAGTTCCGAATTATACACAAACTGCAACAAAATCAGAAGGTAATAAATCACACAATGACAGAAGCAAAAGCATACAAACAAACCATCCGTGCATCACATATGCATGCACGCAGAAAGTGCAACAATGTACGTGCAGAGGCGGTGCAGGCCTCTCTACACTTTGGCCTCAGCTTCCTCGTCCACGTTCTCCTTGGAGATCTCCTCAAGCGACTTGCCCTTGGACTCCGGCACGAACAGAGACATGAGCATGCCAAGAAAGTTGGTTCCGGCGAGCACGAAGAGCGCGTTGCGGATGCCGATGCCCGGCGAGTACCCCTTGTCGGGCTTATCAGGGTCCTGCGCCGCGTACAGGAACCCGAACACTTGCCGCTCTGCCTGCTCCTCCTCCTCCTCGATCTCCTTCTTGAGCACCTTGGCCATGTCGGCCGTGGCCTGCTTCGTGTTCCGGGCAATGAGCGCCGTGTACCGGGCCGTCTCGGGCATCTTCATGCGCCAGTAGTAGGTGAGCGCGGCCGGGACGGTGCCGAACATGAGGATGACGCGCCAGACGTAGTCGGCCTCCGGGACGAGCGACGCCTGGGCGTCCACGAAGTACGGCGGGGCCGGGAACGCGTTCCGGAACGCCTCCGAGACGACAAGCGCGACGATGGTGCCGAAGAGGATGCCGAAGCCCTGCATGGCGAACACGGCGGCGATGAAGGCGCCGCGGGTCTTCTTGTTGGCGTACTCGGACATGATGGTGGCGCTCAGCGGGTAGTCGCCGCCGATGCCGAAGCCGAGTCAGAAGCGGAAGAAGCAGAGCGTCGCGATGACGCCCTTGGGCGTGCTCCCGAACGAGAGGCCCGACGCGACGGAGCAGAGCACCATGAGGATGAGGGTGAAGCCGTAGACGCTCTTGCGTCCGAGCTTGTCGCCGAGCCAGCCGAAGAAGAGCTGTCCGGCGAGCGTGCCGCAGAGCGCGACGCCCGTCACGGCGGCCGACACGTTGGGCAGGAGGCTGCCGGGGTCCTTTGGAGGTGGGGTCGGAGTAGTAGATGCGGCCGAGGAGCTTGGTCACGAGCTCGAGGCAGAACAAGTCGTAGAAGTCGGTGAAGAACCCCATGCCGGCGATGACGATCGCCATGAAATGGTACCATTGCGTCTTGGCCTGGTCGAGTGTGGCCAGCACGTTGAGCTGACCTCCCGCTATTGTGCCAGTCGAGCTTTCCCTCCTCTGCTGCTGCAAGAAGTTACCTCTACTAGAGAGGATCGGAGAGAGGGAGAGGAAGACTGTCAGAAAAGATGGGTGTGCCTGCTTGCTTTGGTCAGTTTCCTGATCGTTGTTTCATATATATAGGCAATCAAACCGGCAAGATGCAGACAACGAATTAGTACGCCAATCTCACATTGGCTTGTTGCACGTATAAAATACCTCCTGTATATGGGCTGCATGCATAATGCATGGCATGGCTCCGTACTACATTGGCATGGCTCCTGATAGATTGACATGTTGGTGCTTAAAGATTGGAGTATTCCGAAAGTCAAATGCTTTGCTTGAAGAGGTACAGCCGTACAGCTAGCTTCATTTTAAGGGCCTGTTCTATTAGTTTATGGGCTGATAAGCCCGGCTAGTGCTGGTTTATTGTGAGAGAAAAACACTGTTGGCTGGCTGATAAGCCCTGGCTGAAACCAACAAGTTTAACAAATGAAATGTGCTCACTGCTCGCTTGTTGGTTTTCAATTGGGTTTATCGATCACCACTCAACAATGCTTTTCTCTCACAACAAACAAAGCAACACCAATGGGCTTATATCGATCTAAACGAACCAACAAATAGGCTGACAGAGCCAACTACAAGTCAAGTGATAAGTACCAAACTAATTTAGCTATAAGTCAAGTTATAAGAACAAAATTATACAATAGTTATTTCTTATTTATCTATGAAGAACTCTTTTATTATTACTTTTACCTAGGTCCTACCTTCTTTCTGCTAATCCTCTCCTCACATTTAATTGATGTTTGGACGCACCACTGTGTAGGCTTTCGTGCCTAGCTTGCTGTTTGCAATGTGGTAGAAGGCTAGAAGCAATGTGGATTTCAGAGTCATTGCATTCTGAACTAGTCTAATTCATTCAAGTTATGCCCAACGTCATCTGATCTGTATAAGAATTATTATTATTATTTCTAGGCAGGATTTTTAAGATAACAATTTAATAAGGCTAGAACACAACATTTAGAGCAAATTTAATAAGCTTGTCTATAAGCTAAACCTATTCAGCAAGAGATCAACATAATAGACAAGCAACACAACAAACTAATCTCTTCTCCAATTTTAAATATCATTTTTATTAGCTGTGGGACCCACCCACCTTTCATTTCCCTTCCTTTGTTCCCTCCGCATCATTCCGTCACGCAGCTTGCAGCGAGGACGGCGGCGTATGCTACGCGGACGCGGCCTGAGCGTGGACGGCGGCTAGGCGCGGACGACGGCACACACGGCGAGGACGACGGCGGAAGCGACGAGGACGACCTGCGCGCGATGGCGGAGAGTACGGCGGCGGATGCGGCAAGGACGATGGCGGCCGGCGTGAGGATGGCGGCGAACGTGGCGTAGACGACCTGCGCGCGCCGGCGGCGCGGACGACGATGGAAGCAGCAAGGAGAACTGCCGCGATTGCGGCCCTGCTAGGCGGGGCTGCGAAGCCGGCGGCGAGGTGCGGGCTAGTGACGGATGCATCGGGAATTTTTTTTTAATTTTAACACTTTTTGAAAACTAATTTTAAATTTAACACTGTCTGTTTTTTTTTAACTAATACTTTTGGCCGCGCCTATTGCCCTGGCGCGGCCAAATGCCTGTGCCGCACCATGCATGGTGGCGTGGCAGAGGGCTGACGTGGCGGCGACCGGAATCGCTGACTGATGACGTGGCAGGGCCTGCCGCGCCATCAACCTTGACGCGGCAGTGCCGCGCCTTGATACATGGCGCGGCAGAGCCGAATGAAACCCCGCGGCAAGTCCCGCCTGCCCGAGCAGTAAGCTCGCCTGGCCGCCGCGCCCGCCGCCCGCCCGACGGTACCTGGACGGTTTAATCAAAACGCGTCGCGCCGATAGTGGGAGTTATTCTAAGTATTGCTTGACGTAAAATCAATATTGTATTTGTTTCTGTCTTTTGTTGAATTTTTTTCACGGTCGAATAGAGAATTTGATAAGCCAATGATTTTTTTCTGTCTTTCATAATACGGTTAACCACCATGTTAACTAATCGATTACGAAAAAATGGATCGGATTGAAACGAATATTTTTAAGGAAACTTATTTATTTGGCTTTTTCGCCTTATATTGTAGGATCGGCGGCGACGCGACCATGGACCCTGGCTTCCTTGACCCCTCGCGCAAGACGCCGGCCACCGGCGTCGAGATACCCCGGGACTGTCAGTTTTCGAACTAGTTGCTACTTAATCTCGCATGCAGTGATGCCGCGACGCATTGAAACGAATATGAAGCAAATAAATGAAGTTCGTGCGCAAGTTGACAAGCTGCCACATAACATTTTCATTGGTTTGACATAAGTTCGACATAACATAACCAACTAAGCCTGCAAGTTTCGGACGCCAATAATAGTTCGACCTAACAAACTAAGAATCTATGTAAGGATCCCTCGGACGTCTCTGTCTCTTCGGATTTGTTGGCAACACATTGGGAATGTAGCCAACGTCGGTGTGGTCGCATCGCCGGTGCGTACGGCTCGTACCCTGCAAGTATATGATATGCACGATTAATTAGAATTCTTTATGATCGTTAGTTCATATAGCCTACGTATTTAAAAAAACTACCTTTGTTAGTACCTGTGAGGCTCCTTGGGTACCAAGCGGGGCACCACCTAGCTGAGACATGCCGATCTCGTCCTGTGGCCAATCGTCCCACTGGTCGTGCTGTCTACGGAAGCCCAGGGGGTCGTCATCGTCGTCCTCGGTTGTAGGGTCCTTTCCAGCGCTATGACGTGGTGGTGTACGCACCGCGGAAGTGGCACCTGTCACTGGTTGAGAAGAGACGGCTGGTGTCCTCAAAGAGACTGAAGACGTGCCACCTGACCGCGCCGGGAGTGGCGGTTCCTCGTAAGGAGTGTCCATGTAGCTCAACTTTTGAGCTAGCTTCCTATAGCTCTTCTTCACCTTCTGCATAAATAGATGTTAAAGTTAGTGCATTTTCCAAACGCATATATACTAAAGAAACAATTTTGGAACAGACTAGTTTATGTTTATCTCCACAAAAGCCTCGAGAACGCCTGGCCCCTGCCCTCTAGACTCGTGAAGCCGAAACGCTGCTTCGTTGGACAACCTAGACAATTATGTCGCCTGGGTACAGAAACGCGGTTCAACAGTTTTAGTATACATACTTAATACCAAATGGATAACAAATTGTACCATTCAAGTATCTTACCACGTATTTTTGTAGCGGGGCTCTCTGTAGCTGTGTGTCTTCTCTAGTGGCAACGTCGTACACATCTTCGATCACATCTTTCTCCGAGTCCTCGTCAATTGCCTCCTCAGTGTACGGGGGCTTGATATGTGTCCTCGTAGACCTGTGAAGCCAGCGCAGGTACTCATCGAAGGTGTGTTGGTCGTGTGGAGGACCCGCATGGACCGACTGCCGTTCCTTGGTCTCCCACAAGTGGATGTGCGCGTTGTGTGTCACGCGCCAATCCTTGGTCTTGTACCTCTTCCTGCGGTCATACCTGTAACAAAACGATGTTAGTTGTATCACACACACCTCTGAATTGTAGCTTTGTTATTAATCGATAACACACCCGTGCAATCCTTGGTTGGTGGAGTAAAGTGGTGGTGGGCAGCCTGTCATTCTTCCAAACTGTCTGCAGACCCTGACGGGCAAATGAATCTCGACCACGTGGAAGAAAATAAGAGGGACGTTGCAGCGATACTCCTCTGACTCGTCCCTAGTGACAGGACTGAGATAGTACTGGAGCTCCGGAGCATCCCAAGGACACCAATACACCTGAAATTTCGTAATTGAGTTAGGCTGTGATATAGTGTACATCGAACAAGACACATGTATGATAGTAAAGAGAGCGTAACCTGGTGCTGTGTCAGGACGTCGAGACTGTCCGTGTACTCCGTGTACTTGCGCCTCGCATTCCCTCTAACTAACTCTGCTTCCATCCAGATATACAGAGCTGTAGGGAGTGTATCTTGCCCGTTACATCGCTGTATTGAACACGATAATGAATTAGCCATTAATAATCTCATCATATGTAACTGCCTCGAAGAATATAGTGAACCGAAGTACTTATCGGTAAACCAGTATTAAGGGGCCTCCCAACGGGCCATTTCTCAACACCAAACCTGGAGTAGGTAGGAGCAACCCCCAAGGTTCGCATAACCTGAGGTGCGACGGCAGGCAACGCATAGCTGTCGATACGTCCATGCCAAGACTGCACTGCCCTAGCTGTACGCCGTTATGTTCTCCCACGGCTGGCGTAGTATGTCAAGAAAGATCCGGTTGATGGTGTTGCCCAAAGCGTCTGGGAAGAGGAAAGCACCAAGAAAGTGCCAGAGCCACACTCAAGCGAACCTATCGATCAGAGCCTCCTCGGCCTTTGGGTCCAAGTAATCAAAGCGTTCTGTGATCCAGGACGACGAAACACCAGAACTTTTCCTGAAATTGACCAAAGAAAATGAGACCCGATGGCTGCAGGAAAGCAATGCAAGTATTAAATAGACTTGAATTTCTCACTTATTTTTCTTGGAAGCCTCGTCATCCGGTGAAAGAAAGCCAGTAAACTGAGCCACCAGCTCCCTCCAGTGATCGTTGTCAACTATCCCTGTCGCTCCCCCAACCGAAGGCCAAAAATAGCATTCACGTCGTGCATGGTCAAGGTCATCTCGCCACAAGGTAGGTGGAACGTGTGGGTCTCAGACCTCCACCTATTATAAAAATAGAACGACTGTTAGTTGCCTCAAATTTGTTACAAGAAAGTTTACGTACAAAGAATGCACTCACATCTATCTACAGCTGCAGTAAGTAGTGCTGGGTCAAGGGACGGAAGACCGTGGTTGACAACACGGACAAGCTCGAGGAAGCCAGCACGCCGTATATACGACGCGTA